AAATTAAATTAATTGCTTTGAAGATAGAGAGAACCAATATTCTTTGGAGAGATTCAGCACTGAAAAGATTTACCCATTTATACAAAAACAGAACATTCAACAGATTTACAACAAAAGTCTCTCTCTATATATATATCTATCTAAAAGAGGTGAATTTAGGTTGGGTAGACAATAATGTTCATAAAGATACCATTTTTATTTTTACATATCCAAATCAAGGGTGATATTTAAGTCCCGTAGGGTTCTTACTTAGAAAAAGATAGAGTACCTTATTTACCTTATTTTAAGGGGGAGAGTGTGTGACAGCCTTTGACCCTGGAGCACACATCATCAGCTTTTACTGTAACTATCATGGGAAAATGTAGCATCCATGCTTAGCTTAAAATGCCTAAGGAATAAGTTTGTAGGGATGAACAGGAATATATGCCAGAAGATAAAATTAGGGCCCACCCAAGTACTGAGGTCAGTCTCCTAAACAACTTTCCTTCAGTCCTAAGAGGGGGGTAGAGTGATTGTTAACAGGAACAGATTTTGTATTTCTCCCAAAGCATGAAGGAATTCAGAGGAAAAAGAAAGGTGAGGGTAGTATGCTAACAGTTCAAATACTAGAAGCAACTGTCCCACCCAGAGCAGTTCTATCCGTGTCAGTACGGCACCGGGAAGATCCCAAGCACGTATGTACTGTGTGCCAGGCTCTGCTCGAAGCTCCTCCCAGGACTGATCTCCCAAATCCCACAGGATAAGGGCAAGGATGGAGAGACAGGGGCAGACAGGCTTGCAGTGGACAGCCAAGGCGTAGAACCGGTCAGAGGCAGGGCAGGGAGTGTCCCACCTTTTGTGCCATGAGTGCTCCATCTACACTGAAGGGAAAAATGCATAATGTTCCAAATAGGAGGCCGAGAAATAGAACAGAGAAGCAAAGAAAATGATCTAGTATTCAGCCTTATTGCCAGGCAGCTTTTAAGTGATTCGTGCACACCCTTTTGTTTTGAAGCTGACAGGTGTCTTATTTATTTGTACTTTAAATCTAAAAATATCTGAATTGATCCATTCTAGACTGTTCTTATGCCAGATTGTTGTGCTGTATTATTGGCCAGGTATGATTATGTCAGTGCCTGTGAATGACTTCTTAGTTACTAACGCCGACTTTTCTCTTCAAGTGATTTTTTTTTAATTTGAAAAACAATGTACAAAATCAGCATCCTTCAGCATTTTAACACAAATGCATCTCAAGTGACAGACTCCTTTAGTTAAAATTTTCCATATATGTGGTTAAATTTATGGATTTAGATCTGGCTAATAGAAAACTAGACTTGTATTGAATTAAAGCAGGCATTAAAATCTAAAGTAAATTGTATTTTTGCATATTCTACATATTTTTAAAATAATTTTTTATGTATTTGGTACAGGGTCTCACTACACAGCTCAGACTCATAGTGCTTCAGTCTCCCCAGCACTGAGATTACAGGCGTGTGCCACCATGCCTATTCTTGGTGGCTGGCTCTACCTGGCTCAGCATACCCAGGGTGGGGCTGGCACTATGGTACCAGGACTTGAACTTGGGTCCTTGTGCTTGTCTAGACAGGCGCTTAGACCACTGAGCTCTCTCTGCAGCCTTATTCTACATGTTTGATTACAGAACGGGGAAAGAAAAGTTTCAGTTGTTTATTGTTCTATTAAAGATCAATGTGTTAAGAAAATTTATGTTTATATTATTCTGTTATTGAACTATACAGTTGTATCTGATGCTTTAGCAGGTATGACCAAATCAGGATTTCACCACTTTAATACTGTTTCATTCCTTTTGTTGTAAATGTACGTGTAAGGATATTGGTATCTCCCATTCCCAGGGAGCTTTTTCAGATTAGGTAGGATTCTTCTAATAATTGTGGACTACACTTGATGTTCTTGGAAACACTCTTTTCTGGATATTACATTTGCAAAACTCATCATAGCTTTCAGACTTCTACTGGCCACATAAACATGAGAAAATACTATATTCAAGATTCCCTCAATCACATAGACTAAGAATTAAGAGTTGAAATGTTCAAGTCTAATCCCCGGTTCCACCAAAAAAAATGAAATGAAATGAAATGAAATGAAATGAAATAATGAAATGAAATGATGAAATGAAATGTTCAAGTCAGTGCTTTGATCTTCAGGGGTAGGTAGTAGGGTGGAACTGTGGACCTAAGTGAGTGTGGCTGTTCTAATAGAGTCCTAGCCTTATAAACTAATATCACAGTCCTATATAAAACTCTTCCAAAGATCAAAGATACGCTCTCTGAAACAAAACCAAACCATTTCTAAGCCACCCATAGACAGACGGCAAGCAGATGGCATCTACACTTGTCATTTAAGTATTCTGAAAGGCAGTGATGGCTTTAAAGTTCTGTTATTGATGGCAGCCATTGTAATTGGAGTAGTTCATCTGTTGCTTTCTTACCAAAAGATACAGAGGCCATGTAAATTAGGAATTTCTTATTGTATATTATTTGAGCCCTGCTGGTAAATGGCCTAGAGGGGCTGGGGGGGGGGGCACTAGGGATTGAACCTTGGGCCTTTGCAGTGAGTTATAGCCCCATCCTTTTTATTTTGAGACAAGGTCTCACTAAATTGCTAGATTGCCCAGTCTGGACTCAAACTTGTGATCCTAGGGGCCGGGGAGATGGCTCAGTAGAATAAGCGCTTCCCTGGCAAGTGCAAGGGCCCAAGTTCAATCCCCAGTTCCGCATGGAGCCACCATGAGCATCTGGCTTTGGAGGGCAGAAGTGTGTAGGTCTGGGGCGGGGGGTCCCCCCAACTGTGGTGTGTGACTAACTTTATACTTGGAGAGTTTAGGCTGTTTCACCATAGGGTAGTATTGAATCATGCTATTAAAAGCACCTATTTCATTTTAATGCAGGTAAGTTAACAGTTAACTATGACAGGGATGTGTCACGCTTCCTGTGTATGCACTTGAGGATTCTGACAAGTGTAAGCATCATGGAATCCATACTTCTAGAGTGTTTATCACTCCAAAATGATGTCCTCAGACTCCCTCCCAGTGACTTCCTATCTCCACAGGCAACCACTGTTCGTAGTTCTGTCACCATAAATTAGTCTTATCTGTACCAACAAGTTCTATAAGCAACTGAAGTCCTTGTTTAAAAGTCTCTCTGAATGTAAGACAGTATAGAAGACAGTGGCATTCAGAGACTTGGTACCAAGTTCTGTGCCCTTGGACAAAGGTTCTCTGATCCTTGAATATAGGGTCACCTTAAATGACCCCTAACCCACTCCCAGGTCTAAGCCTGCAGCCACACCTAATCGCAGAGGCCCCATCACTTGCTCCACACCCTAAGCCAAAAAGGAGCTCATTCGCTCCTTTCTGCTGCTTCCTACCTCTGTATTAGTCACTTTTTTCTCAGCTGGAACAAAGTACTGAGATATAGAACTGAATGGAGAAGTGGCTTACCTGGCTCACAGTTGGAGAAGTCACGGTTCATGGTCGGTTGGCTCCAGGGCAGGAGCCTCATGATAGAAGTGCGCACTGCATGGCAGTGAAGCAGAGCACAGGAAGAGAGCTCTTCCGAGAGAGATGCTGTGTCCACTCTGAAGGCACACCCTCCTTGATCTGCCCTCCCACCCCCAGGAGCCTGCTGCCCACGTCAGTTCCTCTTTGTAACTTCGTTGGACACATCCCTTCCTTTGCCCCTGGCTGCCTCATTCTGCCTGCTCTGATACATAGCTGTCCAGTCACTGCTGTCCCTACTCTGTTGCCCTACTCTTTCCACACCATGGTGTCACTGCCCTTTGGGGAATCTTGGCTTCTCTAGTTAAAATCCTATAGCTCTTCACCAATCAGGATGCTTCTCTGTCACCTACATTCTGAACTGTGACTCCATGAGAGCCTGTATCATGACTTTCTGGTAGCGTCCCTGTTGCCACTGTGCTCTCGGCCACTGCTCAACCTGCCTTCCTCCTTGCTTCCCTCCCTCATCCCTTTGTAAGTCCCCGTGGGGTTCAGGTCTTACGTATGCTTGTGTTCCTCATTATGTTGGGAACTATCTCTATGGTTCTAGGGTTTAAACCCAGGCCTTTCAACGCTGAGCTATATCTCTAGCCCTTTATTTTTCATTTTGAGACCCTATGAGGCTCTTGCTCAGGCTGGGCTTGAGTTTTCAATCCTCCTGCCTCAACTTCCCAGAGTGCTGGGATTACAGGTGTGCAGCACCCCCCAGGGAACCTCTCAAGAGATCAGGAACCCTGCTTTGTTCATCTTTCCATCTCAAGCATCTGGCATATGAGCACTGCAAATAGTCCCCAAGTTAAATTGCTAAGGAGGATAATGCCTCAAAGGTCAGTCTTACTTGCAGTTCAAGTTGAAGTTTTTAATTTGTTTTTTAAAATCAAAGAAGGGCCGGCAAGATAGCTCAGCAGTCTAAAGCACCTGCCCAGGCAAGCACTCAAGGACAATGGTTCAATGCCTGCTGCACCAGGTGCCATGCCAGCCCTGCTCCCAGGGTGGGCTGAGCCAGCCACATACAGAAAATAAATAAAATCAAAGAAGTTCTCTTGTGTTTCTAATTCTGAAATTTTCTGTCCAGTAGCTAACATGGTAATATCAGTGAAAAGTGAGAAAGTTTGTATTTGGAGAGATGGTATATTACGAAGCATGTCATATCAGTGAAAACCATGGGTAAAGGGCTGGTGCTGTAGTCTTTAATTCCCATCTTAAATCAAACCTACGGTGCTTACTCATTTAGCTCAAGAATGGTTTGTTACGGATTCTGGGAAGGGAGAGCCTTTCTTTCTAAAGGTCTTTGCAGTAATTGGGGGGTAAAACGATTGGTAAATATTGATTCAAGTATCCAGGAACACAGCACTGTATTTTGAGCTTGGTTTGTCTGTCATGGTTCGCTGACATTTCAGAGCTCTGGTTCTGCCTTGCGGCGGGAAGCAGCAGTACCACCCCAGCTGATCACTGTTAGCACAGATATTATCTTTTCCAAACCTAGGCAAGAGCCTTGATGCTATCCACGACATCACTGTGGCTTATCCTCACAACATTCCTCAAACCGAGAAGCACCTCCTCCATGGAAACTTCCCCAAGGAAATCCACTTTCACGTCCACCGCTATCCCATCAACACCCTCCCCACGTCCAAAGATGACCTGCAGCTCTGGTGCCACAAGCGGTGGGAGGAGAAGGAAGAGAGGCTGCGTTCCTTCTATCAAGGGCAGAAGAACTTCTACTTTACTGGGCAGAGTGTGATCCCACCGTGCAAGTCTGAGCTCCGGGTCCTTGTGGTCAAGTTGCTGTCCATCCTCTACTGGACCCTGTTCAGCCCTGCCATGTGCCTGCTCATCTACTTATATAGTCTTGTTCGCTGGTACTTTATAATCACCATTATTATCTTTGTACTACAGGAAAGGATATTTGGTGGACTGGAAATCATTGAACTTGCATGCTATCGTTTTTTACATAAGCAGCCACATTTAAATGCAAAGAGAAATAAGTAAGATTGTAAGATTCACAATATAAAACTTGGGGGATATTTTGGAAATGTTCTATGTCTTTGTAAACTAGGATGCATTTTTGCATGACTATGTCAAATATTTCTTAATATCATTTGTTAAAAGATTTTGCACTTAATTTTGTGGAAAAAATATTGCTACAATTTTTTTTAAACCTCTGAATGTAATTTCAATACTGCATACATAGCAGGAATCAATTGCTGTGAAATGACTCGGGCCTGAGTGTCAGCAAGCGGTCATCGGGCTATTCACCAACGAAGTCCACACAAGCTTTCCCAAAAGGCCCAGTTCCTTTCCCTGACTGACTCCCTAGACCAGAGGCAGGTCAGACTCCTGAGCACTGGCCCAACACGCAAGGGTCTGTGACTGCCCTCTCACACTTCCTCCGTGAGCTCTGTCCACATTCTTTCTATACCGCCAAAGCCATCCCACCCTTTCTCAAGGCCAGACACCAAACTTGCTGGTCCCTGACTGGTCCGGTATTTGATAGGAAGCCCTATTTATCATAGTATCTTGTGCTGACCCGTGTCCTTTCCTCATGGAAATCACACCTGCACATGTCTCAGGGAGCAACCATGGGCTCTCCACTTCATTTGAATTGTAAAAGATAGGAATTAACTGAGTTGAAGTCTTTCACTCATACTCAGTCTCGCATGCTTAGTGCTGGGGTCCTTACAATTTGGTCACGGGTGAGGATGCTTTTTCTCTGAAAAACAGTATACAGGCAGTCACATACCTGTCTGAGGCACACTTAAAGGGACATTCTGTTATTGTAGATGAAGACTGTCTTGTAAAATACATTTATTTAAAGCCTACCAAAAAAGGAAGGTTGTGTTTTCCACAGGCATGTTTTCCTTATGAATGGAGATCCGGCTTCTGCCCTTGAAATAACAAAAGTGTTTGCAGACAGGGCAGTTGCAGAGGTATCATCCTTGTAGCCTTGATAAATCTTAAAACCAGGGGCCGGGGAGATGGCTCAGTGGAATAAGCGCTTCCCTGGTGAGTGCAAGGGCCTGAGTTCAGTCCCCGGTTCCTCCAAAAATAAATCTTAAAACCAAAATAACACAAAAGGAATCCTTTTCATTGATAGCAAGAAGCCTTTCCTCCTCCACCCACAGGCTTCCTCTCTCAAGAGTAATTTTTAAACCTACTTTAGACCAACTCTTTGACTAAATATTTTTGTCATTCGCAGTCACTGGAAAATTCAGCAAACCAACAGCACCAGGCTCCTTCTGGGGCAAAGAAGCATGTTGTCATTATTTCCGCTCTCTTGGAGCTGTACGCCCTCCCCTCTCATGTTTTGTTTTGTTCTGTTTTGCCTGGTCTCATAGTAGGGACAGTGGTCAGAGCTGCTGAAAATATAAGATAATTAAAAATCTTTAGGTGTTGGAAAATGTGTTAGCTCTCTGTACTCTTTGGGCATGATGCCTTCTCTTTAATGTTTCACAGCAACTGTAAACCAACAGTTAACTCTCACGCATTCCCATGAAAGGCAGTCCTGTCGTGAGCTGTGCAGAGCGGACCCTATGGGCAAGCATTTGTTGTGCAGTACCCCGTGGACACCTGGCTTTCGCTGGAAGAATATTAACCGGGGCCGCTGTGGAGCTGCACCAACCCATGTGTGACTGTTTCACCCGAGCTGGGCTCAGTCCTGCCCGGAGCTTGCTAATTAGTTATTACACACATCTGCTTCCAACCCAGCTGTGTAACTTCATGGTTTTTAAAGATACTCTTTTTAAAAACAAGTATTTTCCCCTTCCCTTTATGAAAGAGGCTTCTCATTTAAGTTTCTTTCTGACTTCTTGGGTTATTTTTAAACAGGGGCATTGTTTGTACAACCAGGATTGCATTTGTCCCAAGAGAAAAACTGCTTTGTCCCCTAAGGTGTATGTAACTGAGCCCTCTGCTCTTCCCACTGACTGACCAGGCTTAGTAGCCATTGACCTGGTGGAAGTGGTGTCTAATTCAGATACCTTTCAATACCTTTTTTTTTTTTTCTAACAGCAGCAAATACATTTAAGATAAACTATAGATTTTATTCTCCCTACCTAAAATTCATAGTTAAAGATAAAACTGGGAATGTGGACATTGCACTTGCTTTTAAAATTAGAAGGAGTGCTGGTAGGTAACAGTTCTTACCCCAGATTTCTTATGAAATAGGACAAAGTACTTCTAAAATTTAGAGCACATCGTAAAAGATTAAATGTTTTGGAGAACCTAATTATTTAAGGTTCCCAATAAAATCCTTCCTTCTTGTGCTCTAAGAATGCCAGTTATGGGGCCATCACAACTTCCACTCGAGCCGCTCGGCACTCCCTTCAGTCGCACCACACGGGATTCACTTCTGGGCAGTGAGGAGGCGTTCCCATGTCACCCGGCTTCAAGCGCCCCAGTGTACTCTTACAGTAATGCCTAGTGGAGGGAGCCTGTTGGTGTTGTTTACATTTCTTTATACAAATAATGTGCTTTCAGTGCCTTAGTTACGGGCCCCTTTCTTTTTCTTATTCTAAGGATTCTGTAACGTGCTTCTTAGGTCCAGTCTCTGCCGCTCACAGAGTGGACCGCGGTCTCTGGACACGGGTCCCTGAGCTTGGTGAACACTTCTCTGTTGGAGAAGACAGCTCTGGGCTGAGCCAGGGGCTCCGTGCTTGTTTTCTGTGCTGTAGAAGACAAAGATGATTTTGTCACACGATAAGCTTCAGATTAAATATGGCCCTAAACTTCTCTTAGACCTACCTTAAATTTTTATTTCAGAAGAGAATCTTGGTTTAGGTAATCCATTTTTTTAAAAGATCATTACATGGAGAATACCAGGTTTTAAAAATAACTCACAGAATGGCCTTAGTTTTCAGTGTCTACTGCTATGTATGTGAGTTGTCTATAATACATATCCAGAATAAAGTTGAGTGAACCGAGTTTACCATGTGTTGTCTGTGTTCTTGCGGGAGTAGCAGAAAATACAGGTGGTGGTGCTACCTCATTTCCTCACATTGTTACAGCTTCACCGTAATGGAAGAAAAGCTGGGAGGTTAGGACTCTGTTGTTCACAGCTGTTTAGAAAAAGTGACCAAAGCTAAACACAAAATGTACTCCTGCCATAATTGAAACAGTCCAAGGAACCACAATTGAATTCAGGGCTCAGCAAATGTCATCAGAATGTCCCAATTTTTTTTTTCACAACTCAGGATGATATGGTCATTCCAAAGGCATGGTACAAAGGACTCACATGCCCCCACTTCTCCTCACTGTCCTGGGGCAACTGTGGAGGCAAGTTGTGGAAGCCTGTTATCGCAATGTCCTTAGCAAACACACACAGCAACAGCATGGAGCCTAGTGTTTTCAGATACTAGTTTTTGATTCTCCAGTGAACACTTTGTATGAAAGTTTCCCTCTGGTAGAAATCTGCAACTGGCCATCACCAGGGGCATGCATGGCCAAAACTGTGCAGCCCTGGCCCAAGAGTGCCGGTCCCAAGGCCTGGGCCACGAGACATGAGGACTCTTTCACTCAAGTGAAGACTAAGCATGTGGTCTCTCTAGCTGCCCACCCATCTCCAGTGTAACTCTGATAAAGTTGGCTCAGAACATGAGCCAGAAGAAGCCTTGTCCAGTGACCTAACCTCCACCTACAGTTGTAGACTATTCCCTAATATCTGATGTCTACACTTAACCTTTGCCCCACAATCTCTTGTGGAAACATACTCCGTAAATGTAAGTTGCATGCACAGAGCACTTTGTTGGAGTTCTGTTAGTAGGAATAAGATAGTAAGAACATCCTAAAGGTCTGTTGTAGGGACTGATGGCATCATCCCTGCTGTAATTAATTCTGGACTAATTACTGCACAGGTATGTGAGACACATCAACACCCACCAGGACAGGAATCAGGCCAGAATGCTATAGGAAGTGGGAAGAGAAAGGAGAGTAACACATAATTAAGCTCCCGTTTACCTAAGACGGCAATGCTATTCAGACCTACACACATACTCAGTAAAACTTTGAAAGTTAACTTAAAAATATAAAGCATAAAAGTGAAATATGTCTGTCCCAGCCAGTACTTATAAACAATAGCAATTAATGTCTTACAGTTCCAGGGGCTGGAGTGTATAAAATGTGTGTCTGCTAGGCCAGGTGTGGTGTCACATGCTTGTAATCCCAGCACTGGAGGCTGAGGCAGGAGCGTTGCAAAGTTCAAGACCAGCCTGAGGCTACAAAGTGAGCTCAAGGCTAGCCTAAGTTGCATAGTGAGACCTTCTCTCAAAGAGACCAAAAAAAAAAAAAAAAAAAAGTACACCTGCAGATTGAAGCTCTTGGGGCCCACCTCCTGGTTTGGTACAGTGTCCTCAATGGTGGAAGGGGGCAGGGCCTCTCTTGGGTCTCTTTTATGAAGAGACTGATCCCACCCACCCTTCAGGGCTGTATTCCCATGGCCTAACAGTCTCCCAGAACCCCACCTCCCAGCTCCACCGTCTGAAGGGTCTGACCCAGGGAGACGCCAAGAGTGAGCATCGAGACAGTAGCAGTCACATACAGTGGGGAGGCAAACAGGGAAGTAGACAGAAATCAGACTTCTGCAGAAAACAGCACTGAAATTCCTGAAAGCATTAAAAATAGTTACAGCATGATCCAGCAGTCCCCACTCGGGGTGTGCATCCAAAGGCATTGGAACTGGGATCTTAAGGAAATGTGCACGCCCACATGGACCACAGCAGTCCCAAAAGATTACAAGATAATTAACCCAGATGCTAGATGAATGAGCACAATGGGGTTCACGTCCACAGACACACACACAAGGGACTGTTTCTCAGCCTTAAGGAAGAGCACTCCTGCCATTTCTGACAACATGGGTGAACCTGAAAGGCATTAAGCTAACTGAAGCCAGTCAGAAGATGAAGAGGAGAGAAAAGAAAAAGGAAGCCAACCCCCCCTCCCCCGCCTCCACCTACTAGTCTGGTAAGTATCACGGAAATGCACAGATCTTACTACTTACAGTAAGTAGTTTGGAGAAGACTTCAGAACCACTCAGCGCCCGGCTCCTTGCAGTCAGCGCTGGCAGCAGGTCAGCCTGGCCTGGGCAGTGGTGGTGCTGGCTGCGTGGCCGGTGTGCGCAGAAATACCACCCAGCACAGTCTGCCCATGGAGCCTGGGGCTCAGGGGTCTGCCCATGGACCCTGGGGCTCAGGGCCTTCGTGGGGTGGATTGCTGACCCAAAGCCAGTCCCCAGCAGGGTCAGGCGGAGCCCAAGTGAACAAGCATTAAATTTGTGAGGCTCCTCTCCCACCAGTGGGATTGCCCCTAAGGTCATTTTTGGCAAACTGTCCCTGGTAGTGTGCTAGTGAACAGAGACCCCTACTGCCACTGCTCCTGCCACTGTAGTTTGAAAATGTGTGTTTGGCGCACCTGCTGAGCTTTATACGCGCTGCCAGGCCCCACCCTTGAGACGCTGTTGAACGGGTCAGGTGCGCAGCCTGCTGAGCCGCAGCTGGCAGAGCTGCCCAGGTGACTCTCATGCTCTGCACATGTGCTTGCTCTTCTAAGGCCTCAGACCCGGGCTCCACGCTAGGCCTCTGGTCCCTTGTGTATAGAGCAAGCATTTGATCTTAGAAGTTCTGCAAGTCCTGGCTGATTTACGAGTAAGATTTATAAGTACATTTCATCCAGTGAACATTTGCTAATGCCTTAGATGTGGGGTCCTGGATAGAACTGGGGAGGAAACAAAGATAAGTGAACTTTTCTCTCCCTCTCTGCCTCTCCCTCTCTCCTGCTTCCCCTTCCCCCTCTCCCCACTGTCCCCCTTTCCCCACTCTCTCCCTCTCATTTCTTCCCAAACAACAGCCTTTAGGAAGCACCACTTTCCAGGACGTGAAGCTAACTGAACAGAAATGTAAAGAGGAAATCAGAGAGGGCTTCTTGCACCACAGTACAGCCCTGGTTCTGATGCAGGCAGAGCTAGAGGCCCCCAGAATACAACTGGTCAGCAGAGGCCATCAACTCTGTGACCAGCTGCCAACTGTCCACTGCCCAGGGGGTGAGCAAGTGTCATGGATAAGAGCTAGTAGCACAGTTTCCAGAAACCACTATGAAGTAACATTGAGCACAGCTGGCTCCCTGCCACCATTTATGTCCCTCCCACTGACGGTGGGAATTTCCATAATGTGGGCTGGCTGGAAAGAGGCCCATCTTCTCTTCAGTTCACATTCAGTAAGATGGAAAAACCAGCTGGGAGTTTCTCTTCAGTGAGTAGCATGCCAGCATACAGAACATGGATTTGGTTCTACTGGCTAACTCCTGGGTGCAGAGAACCAGCTGGGAGGATCATCAGGGTGGAGGGACACAGCTAAATGCTAGCAAGCACAGGACTTTGAAGAAGCATGAGCTCACTCTAAGCAGGAGCAGGGCATGCAGAAAGCCTGGAAGGTCTCCCCTGTCTCCTCCTCCTCTGGAAATGACTTCATTCTTCCAAGGCTGCACATGACTGGAAGGTTGGCTTCCTTGAGGAGCCAGCTCATGATCCTGCTCAGAAGAACCTCCAAGGATGAGAAGTCAACTGTGGGTCATCCTGAGGAGGCTTCTATGGAGTTGGTGGCCAGAGGCCAAGTACTAGTTTTGTGGAGTTGCAGCCTATGCAGCTGCAGGGTCTGCTTCTGCAAGGACTACCCTTGATCTGATGTGCTGCAGGTGCCATCTTGAAGTCCTTAATATTTTTGAACAAAGATTCTCACATTTCTCTTTTACAATGGGCCTCATGACTTGGGTAGACAGTTCTCCCTAGTAGCTAGAGGAGACCAGGAAAAGCCTAAGTTTGAATTATGGTCTTAAGACCTATCTGCATGTGAAATCACTTGGGATGTTTTAAAAATACAAGCAGCTGGCCCTCCCTAGCCCACTTCCAAAAAGCCAGGTGCCTCCCAGGTGAAGCTCACACTGCCAGACTGAATCCGAGCGATGGTTCTCCCAAGCTTGTAGCCTGGAGAAGATGCAGTGGAGCTGTGGGCACTGCCTTGTAAGGGAGGCTTTCTCCCCACTTCACTAGTTATGGCATCAAATGTACTGACCTAAAGCCCTGTGTCCTAGGGACCTGAGGCAGCAACTGGATCTCAATTATCATTGCTGGTGGGAAAGAGACACTTTTCCCCCAATTCCAATTCATTTGAACTGCAAAATAATCCAAGATCACCAGTTGTATCATTGGCTCCTTAGAGATGGAGGCTGAAACACTCATGATTCACCTGCATAAATGAGCGCCCTTCTTGCCAGACCAACGTGGGCCGCCAAGGAGGGGCCTGTTCTCCTGGCTGACAACCTGCTACTCCTGAGCTTTGGAGACAACTTGACAATTACATGTCTATCACAGTCTCTTCAAAATTTACTTTCCTTATCTGTTTTAAACATCTACAATTTTTCAGAATCAAAATAGGATTATGTTTTTCATTATCCATTATTTTCATGATGTGTGAAGTGTACCACTTTTTGCCTGTGTGTGTTCCAGGAAGTCTTTCTGTGTTTATTTTTGCAGAACTCATCAGAGATTAGGAGCCTGCTTTCCTGGCACTAAGAGGAAGCTACATTATGCTGTCCAGGTGGAAATACAGCCAGTAAGGACCAGGGCAGGCTCTGGGAGGAGAGGGGCTGCTGGAGGCTTCTCAGTGTTTCAGGAGTGCCTATAGAATGGGAGAGTGGTAGATGGTAGCTTTTCCTGTAAAGCTGTTATATCTCTAAAGACAGACAAACAAAAAAATTAAACCCAAGAATATTCTAGAAAAATATTTTGATGCTAAGACCACTTTATACTCTTAAAAGTTACAGAGGACTGACCCTGAAGAACTTTATGTGAATTATATCTATCACTATTTACGGTGAGAAGTATTTTAACTGTAAAGATATTAATGTATACATTTATAGTTACAAATATAGT